TGTACAGCTTGATGATAAATTCGTTGAAGAGTCTCTTCGCTGAATCATATGTTTTGATTTTCCGATAATGTCTTGTTAACGGATATCATCAAAAATTTACATCTTTTAATCGCTTTTGTTCTCCGTATTAGAATCCAGACCTATGAGATGATTGTTTGTGCATTAAAAATGACTACTTAATGTTCCCTATGAACGTAGAGACAAAATGAGCAGTCCCTCGTAGGCAACCGCCACATAAGTCCTCAAACTCAAAGAGTGCCTAATTGGTGCATCAAAAGAAGAAGTAGCTGATGATGAAATGAGATTCCTGGACAAAATAGATATAGTCAGATTTTAATCGGCTGAGGTTAAGGTGGCTTCCTGTTGGTATAAGGTGTGTGTCAGTTAGCGGAGTTTTTGTTTCCACTTGGATAGCTACGGGAGAGCGATATATAGAATCAAGACATACGAAATTATCATCGTATGTGAAATATTTTGTTTGTAAGTTTGGTTTCATTGGTCAATTATTGTTTCGATGCATTTATGGATTTCAAATGCTTTGCTACGTAAAAGAATTTATACTAGGTGATTATAATTCAAATAACATTTCGAAACTTACACTATAAGTCAAAAAATAGGATATATGCTTTTTTTAACCGTTGTAATTCTGGAAGTTGTCAACTCAGTGATCTATGAAGTCTGTATCTACTAGGTGAATATAATTTGCCCATATCTCACTAAGTTGCAACAGTGGTACATAAGCATTGGAGAATACGTTATTACTATCGTTCATTTACTTAATATCAGTGAATTGTTTTCGTAACTCATTTTAACGTGCAACCATTGAATGATGTTGCAAACACTACTACTGCCACAACATCAAGCAATGTGCATTTCACTTCGTGTGATGTTACAGATGTATCTTAATACATTATACTTCCTTGTATATTTTAAACGCGGTTGTAATTTACACAGGCTTTTGATGAGGTTACGAAGGTAATAGATAACTGCCCTATCTTTTTGGAAGGAATCGAATACATCATACCGGATTGCCTCAAGTCATTTACGATGCAGATCCCGCCCAATGAAGAATGATTATGTGCAATATGAAAGCACTTTTGTAGGCCGTCGTGCTGCGAGAGGTTCTGGCTTCAGAGAGAGCGAGTAAGTTGCCTGCGCATACAAATTTAAAAATAATTTAGGTCCAAAAGTGTTTCATATGGGTCAAGATTTACAGTACAGTAGACAAATGAAGGATACAATAATAATTTATATTTCGTATAAACGAGTAAGTTTACATGAAATGTATGCCATTTTTACAGGCACGATCAATTATGTTATGAATTACAGTTGTGAATTATCATAAATTAGCAAAAGTTCAAATTGTTGAATTATAGTACAAGCGATCATAACAGGTTCGTATAAATGTTAAGTTGCAAACCCTTCACTAAGGCCGCCATTAAGGTCGAGCGCCAACCCAAACTTCGTTCCGTTTCCCGCTAAGAGTTATGGTCACCCAATAAATGGCCTGTATTTGGGTGAGTGCTCTGCCCCCACGTGATTGAACGCTATTTCAGGAAGAGAAGGACGTCCCGATAAACTGTGAAATGGTATAAAATACAATTGTGGACAGTACACCATTTAAAGTACATTTACAAGATATATAACGAGATAGCGACCTACAAAACTGTACATAACCACCCTTGTACTGAAAGCTTCGTGTCTTCCCATGTATCAAGACGTTGACAGTCATTAGAGGAACTGACTGTTTTGCAATCATTCATCGAAAAGAACACTGACATTCATGAAATCATGGGTTTAGCACTGAACGGATTAGCGAAAGTTATCCTATATGACGATGTTAAAAATATGTGGGTCAGAATTGATTAACTTAAGTCTTACTGAAACAAACGTCACAGCAGAATAGAAACCGGCAGTTTACAAGACCCACTTCATCCAGAGAGGCAGACAGGTCAAACAGGTGTCCCGCATGATAGTGCAGGTGTCGTCTCCAAAATCATTTTCGCCCGTAATGATAAGACCAGTATCTATCACAAGTCTTCGGAAGTATTCGGAATTGATTGTGCTTTCAAAACGAATAAGGTGAGGTAAGTGGCAGTAGAAGTAGGTATAGTTTATTCTTCGAAATTATTGTAGATAGCCTTTATGTCAGTTCGTGGAGATAGATGGATCTGGAAGAGGAAAGACTGTTCTGTTCCCCCTGACTAGGCAGGGAGGGTTTGCGGATGTTATAGAAATCTTGCAGATGGTTAAAAGGTTCATGACAGATACGGCTGGACTTATCCGGCATGTTGGTTGAAATTTCGCTCGACAAATCTTTTTTGTCACTAATTTTTAATAAAATTTTGTTATGTTTTCTGGATTGATAGGAATTCTCATTTCCTGGCTAGTTATGTTGGTGTCCGCGTCATCTAATCTGACTGCGACACACTTAGCATATTAGTTGTAATGATTAGTGTTTCACGCTGAATGCGTCAAAACATCTCTACAATGAAGAAGATGGGGTAGTTGGGGGGTAATGTCATCTACACAAACAGTTTATTTCTTGTAGAAGCTGCAGCTTTCGACATAGTGTCATTAAATGAAGACTACGTCAAAATGTGGCTATTTTTGTGTGAAGAACAGTAGTATTTTACAAAAGAATGCTATCAGTACATGGGAATCACCTATAAATGCCAACAGAACGTAAAACCAATGTGTAAACGAACGGCTACGGAACTGCAATCCAACATAACCGACTAACATGGACGAAAATGACCTTTGAGCGTCTCACTCCATCAATGACCTTGAGCATGCGGGATAATTTCAGTCGACAGATACATGCAAAACACCAACATTCACTATCGACTGTGCAGCCGCACAGATGAATGCTCTAGGGGGAGGATTTCCTCGGTTCAGTATTGTTTTATGTACTTTCCACGCGTGACAGGTGTTCTGAGGAGGGTAAGTTTCATTCTTAATAATGGACATAACCAAAGCAGTTCCAAAATCAACGTTTTAAGAAGCGGTTGTGTCGAATGGCTCAAACAAAAGCAGTTATGACAGGTAGGTGGTAGGTGCAGAAGCTGGATCAGAACTAGAAAATATCGGGTTGCGCCACACAACCATTTCACCGTCAGTATGGGAAACGATACTAGCAACAGGGTGGAGAATGCTCAGACAGTTAGAAAGGTATTTGCGTAAAGGTGATTCACTGGAACTTACGCTATGAAAAATATGGGTATGGATTGGCCACACAACTCTACGTAAACCTCGTGAGTGCCAGTAGATGCTCTGCAGGTGTTGCAATAGCGATGTAAGATTGGAGGTGATTTATGACCTTCCCGAGGTGCATACCTTGCCGGAACCTGTGTTGTGGCCTTTGACACCCTTCTCTGTGAAGAAATTTGTTGTGGATTTGCAAGGGGGTTGACTACACTTTCGTTCAATATCCCCGACCTTAGTCACTCACGTAGAAGGTATTCACACCTTCGTAAACAGGAGTGAGGCAAAATGCTCATGTTGGACAAATAATTTGTCACGTGCGCATGTCGCCACTGCTTTCTCACATTCATATCTGGATTGCGGTGTGTCCCTTACCCCTAAATGTTACTCTTGGACATTCCGAGAAATAGCGAAAGGTGGATATGCTAATATAACACCTCGGACAACATGCCACGTGACACCCGATTAGTACCGTAACCAGGCAATATATCTTGCAATGCTTATGAAAAGTTTAGAAGTCTCCTTGCCAGCCTTAGCCAAAGAAGTCCTGATGCTGATCTGAGGGAAATAAAAGATTTTGCCGGGAGGTTGAATTGCTCGTTGCTAAATGAACCGCAGACTACATAAGCAACACGATGGGTCCCTATTAATCATTCATTCTTGTAAAACTTTCACCATTATCATTTCTCTTCCGTATGCCTTTAAAATATAACCATATACGCCCAAATTGTTATTGATCTTCCTCTCCATCCTCGTGCCTAAGAGTGAGAGTTAATTATTTCCTGATGAAAGTAGCTTGTAAGTGAGTTTGAAATTGGAGTCATCTGTGTCTTATTTACTACGTGTTATCAGCCGAAAGTTACTGATTCCTAGTATATCGTAAATAAATGTGACTAGTAGGTTTCTTCACCTATACAGTACCAACGCTTAAGAGATTAACTAGACTGTAATTAAATTTCATTTTGTGCCACGAACAGTTTGATATCTTAACCTATTATGCGCGAAGTAGATGAGCGATTGTAATTTTACCTTAGTCGCTACTCAACTCAATATCTATGAACTTCTGACTAAACATAAGCTAATAGTAGCATCCAGTGACAGAAATTGACCTCGACACGTTAAAGTGGGCCAAACGTAAAAAACCCTGTGAACTTCAATGGGAAGCTAATGCACGAAAACATGCAACAAGTCGGCACGGAACCAATCACGACCTTGAGTTTACGGTGACTCTAAACTATTGCAGCTCGAAACGAAACTACCTACTGAGGACCTTGTCAAATCTCCGTCGACCTATCAGATGCGTCCTAAGTTGGTGTGCGTAATTTATGAGAAACGTTTATATAAAAGTAGTGCAACGTTAAAAAGTAGTTATGTAGGATAACGTACTTGCACATGTTCCGAGAAAACTTTTGAACTTCCCATAGGAGTCCTCATAGTCAGATTGAACCAATTTCGGTAGAAAAGCTAGTCAAAATGACTGAAAATCATCGTTCCTTCACTCATCAACCCCTCTGATCCTCCTGTTTAGGTGACTCTTGAGACTCTTCATGGAATCTGTATGATTCCCATCGAGAAGATAAACGAAATCTCTCGCATGGCTGACCAAGTCGTGAATATAGCCCAGGGATGACAGCTGGACGCACGTTTACTCCCTTCCAATTAGCCTGTTGTCTAAGTAGTAATTCAATACTAGATTTGGGTGAAATTTGCCACGCAATCCGTGTACAATGCCCATAATTGTGCCTCTATACTATGATTTCCCCCGACTGGTTTCTCAAGGTCATTATGGCGTTCATTAGGTACTTTCGTTTTAGGTTGCTATTGTTTAGAGTCACCGAATTTGGACATGTTGTCTTTCATTCTTAAAACCGTAAGATTGAGTATTGTTTTCAGTACTGGTCATGGTTTGTTTCATTGCATGTATTTAAACCTCTGAGTGTTGAGGTTCCAGTGTCGCAGTTGCTTGGTCGCGCGCCCAGTTTGTGTGATTTCACGTTGACGTTGATAATGAGTGGGACAACTGTAGCAACTTACGAGAGTCTGCCCACTTCATTCCTTGATATCGATGGCTGTGGATCTTTTCATGCAATATCCAAATGTAATGGATTACACTCTCCTAAAAATGATGGACAAAGAGATTTCATGGGCGGTGATAACATGTCGAGCGATGCTACTGATTCCTACTTTTCTAAATGTGATCATATTTTTGACGAGGAAGTAGAAATTACAGACACAGAAGAGATTAAGACTCCACGAGTATCCTCCCCAACTCTAAATGAACTAAGAAAACGACTGGCGGCTATTTCCCCAAACTGTAGATCCACTCACAATCCCATAATACTTGATGGCTGTGGGAGTAATGGTCATATTTCGAAGACGATATTATCGGAAGTATCATCAAAAGCTTGTGCTTATCCAATAGACAGGTTGTACGATGAGTGCATCCCAGTTAAGTCAAGAATTCGCTCACTTAAGAGTAAACTTGGTGATAACATACCACGAATCACTTCTCGTTCAATATCTTCACAAAACTCCTTACGCCTTTTGGAACGTGTGTCAGCGTATCCTCTTCCTGGTCCAATATTGCGCCAAACCTACTCGTCTACTGGGAGTTTGATTGCCAACCTTACAGATCTGTCGATGAATAGAGATGCAATGTTGTCCATACCGCTCACATCAGGTCTGTGTGTTTCGCAAACACATTGTGATGAGAAAATCTCACCCAACCCTGATAAAGGTATGAAAACTTCTTAATCTCTATAGTTATAGTAGTTAATTTGCAGATTGTGGAGTTGTCATCAATTGCAACTGTAAGTTCTCTATTATTATTATTATTATTATTATTATTATTATTATTATTATTATTATTATTATTATTATTATTATTATTATATACATCAATATTTCGTGATCGAATTTTGCGCTGTTGATTAATTATTTTTGTACGGCACTTCTGTATGGTTTAAGCAAGATAATTTAACCGACATTTATAAATTGGACTTATTGCAGTAATTCGGGCATTGTGGGAGATTGGTGGTCCTATGGTATGACCGAATCTAAAATGGTAATACACTTATAATGAGTGAGTTGTGTTTGTCATTAGTTATCGTTCAGTTCAGAATTTAAGGGAAATACAGCATCTGAATGGACGGTTAAAATACTAAACTCGAGTCAATAGTTTGCAACCCTCTTGTCGGATACCAACCTCAGCTGACTCTTAACAATAGTGGTGTAGTTAAATATCTACAATATTGTTAAAAACTGGGAGTTGGTCTTGCAATAGTGATGCCCATGTATTCCGTTAAACATTTCTTAATGAATATACTGCTTTTCGATTAAGTCTTTCATTCTAACCATCCGCATCAACACCAGTCCTAAATCATTTTTCTTCAAACGTTGATAAGAATAAAACTTGTGCACTGGTAGAGTATAATTCCATTATGGGTAAAATTTGTTTTGATAAAATCTCAGTGTTATACAGTAATGTGCACTGAGAACGTTTCGAGCAGAATTTATTGCTCATAATCATATCAAGGTACTTTGATAATGGAGTTATTCCTCGAACGTATTTAATTTCACAGAGGCGTATTTGGACTGCAGTAAATGGCTATTGAAGGCAGGATAGTAGGCTGCTTGCGTCTCGCTTTTCTATTTCAAAGTTGTACTGCATTAATAAATCCTAGTGTTCCCCTTAAGCCGAGCGTCTATCACCTCGGGTAGGTGAGTGTCATACAATAGCCAATTGATTCACTAGCTGCGCTTTATGCAGTGACTTAAATGCCACAGATATGAGTTTTGGGTATTTGTCGAACAATCGATGTCATATGTAGCGCTTCTACAAATATTCACTCAATTCCTATTGTTTATTATATTAGCTAAGTCAGTCAATTCTTTTGAGACAGTCCCGTCTGTGTTTTTTTTTATTTTAGAGAGAGCCTTCAAATGTCAGTGAAAAGCTTACTCTTGATTCAACGTTGCCAGTCCTGAATAATAAAGAAGAGGTCGCTGACGCCAATTCTGAGGCAGATCCCGGGTTTTGTGGTTTACCGAACGATTCATGTTCTTTAAAGTTAGATGGTGGCGTGTTTCCTGACAGTGGCTCAACACTAAACATAGAATCCTGCAGTGCGAGTCATCTCACAGACAAGACCAATGTTCGGAGCAAACGACCAGGTAATAAAAAAGCCGCTCAACGTAAATCTGCTGACGGAGATAATGTTTCACTTAGGAAATCTAATTCTTTCTCTGAAAACAGTAGTGAAAGAACATCTGAAAAAGCTGAATCTCGACATCATGATTTGATCAAGTCTAACTCTTCTGACGAAAGCACATCAGAAGTAAAACACCAATCGTCTATGGAGACTACTGATATGGAAACAAACCAAGGAAATTCTTTAAGTGACCATGACAATAGTGAATTATCGACATTAGCAGAGGTCATAAGTACTCATTCAAATCCATCTCATTCACTGACTGGTTCTTGTTACTTCCCAGTTAGTTATGTTGATAAAGAATCTGTTACTGCTGACGAAGATTTTACTGTTGTGACCAATAAAAGACTGAGACGCAAACAACAGCAACAACAGTCAAAACTTGTTAGCAACAAATCCTGTTATCCGGAACAGTCTATTAACAACCGGGACTCTAGTTCTTGCCTGCCAAAATGCTCCTCTACACAATCCGTAAGCAATATTGGTGCACCCCAGCAGACACGTACAAACCGTTCAGGTGGGAGCACTTTTAGGCAATCTGTGCAGCGTAACAGATCATATCTTAACGCACCGGTCAGACCCCAGTCTTACTCTGCACACACAACTAGTTCTTCTACAAATCCTCGAGAAACTGTGTGCAGAAAATCAAATGATGTGAATTATGGTTCATCTTATATACCTAATAATTCAAATAATTCTAAATCTATACCTAATTCCCACCTTCGTTCTGAAGTGCCTAATCAGTCGTCTCAAAAATCTGTATATAGCAACCCATCCCCAACTAGCTCTCCCAAAAATTCTCAGGCGGTGAGAAAATCAACACCCGACAGTGCAACACAGTCTACAAATAGCCGAACACTATTAGCTGCTACCAAAGAAACTATTAGCTCTAGCCAATATCAAATACTTAGAGATTTTCTACTTTCAGCATGGAAATCGTTCCCTAAACTCTCAACAAATCCACGGTTATAAGTACTTTTTTGACTGTTCTGTGTGTATGATACAAGTTATGGCCTTTGAATGTGTAGAAAAATCAGTCAGCTCTCCTCAAAAGGTGCCTCTACTCACTCTTTAGGTAGCAGCATTTTACTTTGCTTAGGGTAGTAAACTTTACTACTTATTTTTTGTTATGTAGCACTACTCTTCATCTCTTACACCGAATTCTGTTCTCAGATTAAACACAGAATAGGTATCTCTTGACGTTTACAAGTAAATACAGTCTTTGGTTCCGTATGTTAATTGGTTCTATCATCTTTTATGATTATCATGTCAGTAATTTCACTGCCTTACAAATTGCTACAATAACTTAAAATATTTCTCGTACTGATCTGCAGACAACAGTTTCTTTATTTGAAATCGATATTCATAATTTACTTTAGTTTTGTGATAGCTAGTGATAATTTCTTAAAAATTATTTTTTTTCAAATGCGATACAAAACTAGACTAATTAGTTGCTCATTTCATTTTCATGTCAGCAAAATAGTCTTTCCTTAATTCAATTTTTGCATTTGTCTTTCCGGTTCACTGCATACTGCAGATTGATGTACCATAGTTAGTTTTATAGTATTCGATTAGTATTTTCACTTTTCACTTGTGTACTCATTAATCATATAATATATACACTAGTTTTTGTAGTGCGTCCCGGTATTTATTTATTTATTACGTTTATTTTTTCCTTTTTGTTGTATTAAGTAGCATTTTCGTTTCAATTTTGATTTAGTTTGTATTAGAATAGTGATCATTTACTTTTTAGAGTGCATTTTGATCACTCTTTATTCTTATTGCCAAAACAATTACTTTCGTTATAGAAATTAAAGCGTGTTTGATCTATCTCACTTTTTCTTTTAACTGAACGTTGATCTGACTAGCACAGCACTTATTTATCTACACCAAAGAAACAGTAGATAAATTATATTATCAGTCCTAAAAATGTTTGTATAACGATGGAGATACAATTACTGGCTTGAATACAACAGTAGGACTTAAAACATGCGTTAGCTGAAGTCAGAACACTTCGGAAAAAGACAAAGGTAAGAGGAAGTATAACGAAAACACAGTAAACGAGAATGTACTAGAGGAAAAACGTTTAGTTGAAGGTTAGCAAGGATCTTCAGAAACCGGATGGTAACAAAAAGTGTATTCATCTGCACCACTTTGTACGATGATGAACCATGTCACCAAGGGTGGTTAACTATTAACTCTCAGGTTCCCCAGCACTCCAACTAGGTGTTCCATTCTCCATTGATATGGCTCACCAAACATCAGTGTCTTGATATGAGTGGTGAAGACAAACTGTAGGAGCCACCACTGTGAACAATCAATCATGTCACTAGTCGTGAATAAATTGTGAGTTTTGCTTCAACAGTTTTCTGCCGATCTGACTTATTTATTTTTAATGTGTGAAGTAAGGTGCTAGGGATAAGGATAACTGTAGAATTAAGTGCTAGATTAAGATTAGTATAATGCGAAATCGTCCAATTAAGCTGTCCAAACATTCAAATGAGCAGTGCGTCAACAAACTTACGTCTTTACTGACCTTTCTTTTGACTGTTTGCACAAGGTTATGTGGTGGCTGTCATAGTTTGTCTTCACCATATCAGTGTCTTGTGCTTTTCTTTTCCAAGTGGATCCTACTTTCCCTAACATTAGTCGTTCCAGAAAGCGGTGACTGGGCATGTGAGCAGTATGACTCCAGTGGTTTGAAAAGTTGATGTTAGCGATCTGTTGATTGTGTGAACCAAGGTATTTGGTAGTGTATGACAATCTGGGATAGCCTCATAATTAGTGTGGATTGCGCACAGTCTCATTTTGAAAGGAAAGAAACAAATCTTCCTGTCGTTATCACAGATTGACGAAATATTTAAGTTTCTAGGTCTCAGTCGCGTGAAAAGTGGGTCGAGCTCTGGAAAAAACCCATAGAATTAGGTAGACTCCATACCTGGACCAAGGTATGTTGTGCGTATCTATACGCTTCGACAGGTTCCGACGTTGGGGACCCGGCATATCTCTGCAAGAGTAAGTAATTGATACCACGGCCAAACGACCTTCAGCCAACCGATCAGACTGCTCAACACTACCAGAGGATGCTTTTCATTGTCATCTTTGTAAGTTGGGTTGAAACCTGCAATGAAGATTATGGGCAACATCCGTTTGAAATGCTGAGCGTTGTTACTATCACCATTAGGATACATTCATCATAAAGTGAATAATCCATCAGGATTAGTGGATCCTAAAACTGGTACTCATACTGTGGTGAGTGCCACTTATAATCCGATATAAGTAGTATGTCAGGAACGAAGTAACAACATGTTTGGCACACTGGAAAGAGCAATCAAAGAAGAGAACCATAAGAAGAATGTTGCCATATGAAGCAGAAGCCATCGAATGAGACGATATTCGACCAATTCGTCAAGGATGTGGTAAAGATGTACAAATAGCAGGTTGAGAATATGGTATTCCAAATTTAGCTATGTACCATACGTTTGACCAAATAAACATCCCTTTCAGTCTCCTCAGGCTTCTCTTCGTTACAATAAAAATTGTGTTGGAAGATTTAAGGTATTTCAAGAAATTGATTGGAATGGTATATGTCTATAACCATTTCTATTGAAAATGGGACCTGTCCTTGCAGACATATACACTGCATGATTCATTTTTACTATGAATATATATATATATATATATATATATCCTGTAAGTATACTTTTTATACTAAAATGTCACATTTCACCTGGAAGTATATGATCGGTTGACTCAAGGTCATTCGGCTGCGAAATCTATACTCAACTACCGTCCATATTTCTTAATCTGAAGACGAGATTTGTCTCTGGTAGTCGAGAGGTGCTGTAGCAATGCTTGGTTTTGAAACGATTCTGAAAGATTACGCTTTGCTAACCAGGTTATTCTACTCGGACTCTAGTAAGCGTGCGAGATCTTTTAATGCAAAGGGCATGGATTCCAGTCCCACTTCCATTAATGGCTGGACGTGGTGATTGAAATTACAATGACCTAACAAACGACGCTGACTGCACCAAATGTTCTTGCAGGTTCTGTCATGCCATAAAGCACGTTTGGATAGCAGTTATCATCATCGTGTAAGTCGCTCACGTTATGTTGGGGACCTGTGTTTGATGTATTACTACTGACCAATCAGGATACAAGAGCGATGAGGTGTCTTCCACAGACGATCAGTGGGCCTCTTATGTTGCTCCTTCATTCCTCAGGGAGCGGCTCGAAAAAGTCGACCCTAAAAATTGCACATGCAGACTTATTTTGAGGCGGTTCGTAGCTGGTGGTAAGGTCTCCAAACGGACGCTACTACGAAAGCCTAACCAAACCCTATCCCATAGACAGGTTCTTCAACTTCACTTAACTCTGTGACTGTTGATAGCGACGTAAACCAGAAAAACACCACAAATAGTCTCTTAAAACCATGGCACCAGTTCTTCATTGGAGCATCCGACGTTAGAACCTTAAGGCATAGCTCGGGTGTCTCGAGCAATGGATGTATGTTGTTTCAGATGACACGTACAAGACTCAGGTGTGGTTAGTTCTTAAATCCACTTAGCTTCCGTTGTAAATCTACAGCTGCTGGGGGGTTTTTCGGCTAGTTCGCGGGGACTTGCTGTTGTACGATTACTTTTGGGTGCTAAGGCAAAAGTAGTTTCTTCTCAAATGAATTCTAGTAGATACTCGTTTGTGTGCTGTCCAGCTGGACGGTCCCCACCGATGTGTTTTGGCAATATCCTCCTACACCCTAACTGACCAGTTCTCAAGAAGTAAAGAGTGAGTTTTATCAAGTTGGCGCCAAAGAGCGAAACACTTAGCTTTTTTCAGTTGACATCAGTGCTCGAGTAGGAAGCTGCTTCAGTCAGAAAAGTGTACTACTGGCACCATTGACCCATGTCAATCAAGTGGCAACGATGGTCGTCTTCTACAGGTATGTTTTGACAATCATCTGTCCCTAGTCAGCACCAATTTCAAACGTAAGAAGAGACACTGCCTAGTCGTGCAGCTATCATTTATAAATGGAGTGAGTTGGTAGGAGTTTGTCACTACTTCTGGAAGACCTACGTAGACTTCGGTCACTAATTCGTTTACGTATATGTCTACTACTGGACGAACCTAAAAAGTCAACAGCTATGAAACGGATCGCCCCTAGATTGATAGAAACACAAAATCTTCATCTAGGGGGAAATTAACTAATTGTGTGTCCGGGTATTACAGCAATACGCATCCTGAGGAAGTTGGGTATCATCCAATCAGTGGTAGAAGCAGTGGTTGTTCGTAACCTGCAGCCAAACGTTGGTAAATCCCAGTGGGTTTCTGTTGCTTCATCTGAACTGACAGACGTGAGATGAATTTCGACAGGCTCCGAAGATGAAGAGCAACGAAAGCTGACAGTGAACATTTGTTGGCAACAGAAATGAAAGAGATGAACAGTACTTTAATTACCGTCCATGATAGACGACTGGAACGTTGAATGAAACACTTTGAGGGGTAGTTTGACTGGTCTACAACCACGCTGAGTTCGCACAGCAAGCAAAACCTGTTTAGGATGTAGACATTGTTCCTCTAACCAAGCATGCAGACTTGACTTCAGAGGTGTTTAAGGATGGGTGTGATGAACTTAGTTGGATGAACTATGATGTTAGACAGTGTATGGGAATATGATACTGCTGCGAATCATTGATTGTTGCAGTTTGTAAGAAGGGAGATAAGTCTTCCTGTGATAATCTGGGGGAGATTCGTTCGACTAACATAGGATCTAAAATTGCAGGTTTAATAATCATGGATAGACTGTGTGGTGCTTGGGAAAAATCCCGTAAAAACTAGGTGGGCTTTTGACTCAGACGACGATATATATATATATATATATTTATAATTACTTTTGTGTGTGCATTCAGTCTATCAATCACATTAATAAAATAAATCAGTTGGGAACACTGTTTGCACCACCACAGTACTCCGAAATATTGAAGACTAATCATATTGTAAGTAAGGCAGTGGAAATTAGTAAGTTTAGACATAAGGTTGTGTAATACAAAAGATAGGGTGTTAGTGAAAGAGCACAGGGATAATTGTCAAAATATATTGTGTAGCAGGTGGACACAGTAAACGGAAAGTTAGTTTAGAAAGTGGTGTTAATAAATGTGATACAAAAAAATGCAAGAAAGGATTAAAAACAAGATACTGATAACAGTTGAGCTTGGTATTATATCCAAGAGGGGAGAGGGTGGAGAAGTTTCTCATGTGTGCACAAATCAGTGATTTTTTCAGAATTACTTAGGTGCCAGCACTGCAAAGTGTGGGCGAACATAGCTTTCGGGAGGCTTCTTTTGACTTTGTAGGTAACTTCCTGTGATTTTCCTTTAGATATTGAGTGATCGCTGTGAAATATGTCCAGTCACAGCACCCGTATTGAGACATTGTGACCTTTTTGTGGACATACGGGACAATGCTTCTTGTATCAGAGAACACCAGAAGAATACCAATCTTAATGTAGGTGCAAGTGCCTGTCATAATGGCGACCCTATAGCTACATCATCTTATTATCCATAAATAACACCACTGAATGCGAACCGAACGTGCAGAATGCAGCTAAACAGAAGTCCTTTTAACCTAAATGCCTGTATTCCACTGTTCGATTTGTTGCCTTCCAAATACTTGCGTAGAAAGCGAATCGTCTCCACGATGGAGGAAATTTGTGAAGAGTGACTCGACATTAATTGTCACCACAAAATTTCTCACCTACCTTCACTTTTTTAATACAGTCGACGAATCCAAACATTGCACGATGGGGAGTAGCTTGAAATTCGCTCCCTGAAGAG